ATAAAGTTGATAATTTCTATGCATATATATATATATATATATATAGTTTTGATATTGAAACTTGCGACAGCAAGCTTGGGTAACCTTAAATACGTGATGCAAATATACGGTATTTGATGAAATATTAGAAAATATGACGAAATTATTCAGATAAGAATATCCAGTTTTAACGTTTCATGCGGATATGAATGAAAAATATGTAAAAATGATTAAAAAATCGAGGACTGCCTAAAAAACTACTTACGTTACTTCTTTCTCTTTCCTCGAAAATCACAGAAGAATCGGAAATGTGAGGTGGAAACAAGAAATATATGCTTTCGAGATGGCGCCTCCTACAAAGGTATATCCGACATTTAAAAAAATGGCGCGTTCTTATCCAGTAATTAAGTTAATTGATAATCAAATATATAAAACAAAAATTTATCATAAAATATTTATAATTAAGATAATCATAAAATAATATTTAAAACAGAAGATAAAAGAGTAAGTAAAGTATATTTAATGTCTGCAAAAAGATTTCGACAAATATTTTAGTATTCCAAAATATACGCGCGCGCGCGGAAACAAAAATATAATTTCAAAATAAAAATAATGATGTTTTTGGAAGAGGAATAAAAAAAATATAGATTTTTGTCAATTATTTATTCATTACGTATAACAATTTAAAATTTCTTATACTGTATACCGTATATAAACAATACAGAAATAATGTACGAAAATAGAGGTTTTTTATTTGTAAAAATAAGAAAGTTCTTAATTGACTTTCTTACCGTTTACATATACTGATACTATATTACGTTCATCACCTGCATATATAAATCTCTGAAAATTCTCTTCAAGTGTATATTCTTTAAAATTATCCAACAAACCGCCTTCCGCGTTCATGTCGATGATGAGAGCATCGAATTCTTTGCCTATCATCAAATTACCGACTTTGTCATCAATTGAGAGTGCTAAACACAATCAATATATCAATACAATTGTAACCAAATTTGCATATGGATATAAAGAGCATTCCTTACGACCAACTTTTTACCTTTAGCACCTCCCAATGTTGCCATATGAAAGACATCTTTATAACTAAGCGGTGTATAATTATCTCTAGTCAAAGATAAACAATTTGATACTTGTAAAACCGATCTTATCTCATTCAACATACTGTAACTAGTTGCACCTGAAACATCTAAGAAGACATATTCATTTTTAATATAATTAAAAATAAACGTATTACGTTGTACATATTAATTGAAATTCAAAGTTTAGATATCAAGTTAAATATCCAAATCGTGAAACTTCTACAAGGAAACTCTTGTTGCACCTGTTCCAAGTCCGACTTTGATACTATTAGCCTTTAATCTTTGCACATCGCAAAGTCCGCTTTTCAGATTTGTATTTGAAGAAGGACAATGAATTACAGCTGTTCCTCGTTCTTTAAGAATGGTAAGTTCATCATCTTCAAGATAGACTCCATGTGCTAATACAGTCTATAAAAAAATAACCAGATGTACGTAATCTGAGATATATATGACTTTCAATCTCTCAATTGTTTCAATTTGTTATTTAATAAATTGAAGAAATGAAGTATTATACCTTATTGGTAAGAAGACCAGCAGCATCATAAACAGCTGTGTACGAAGGCAGATGTGGAAAAGCCTGTTTCACTGCTATTATCTCATCCTTATTTTCAGAAACATGGCTCTACAAACAATTAGGAATATTTTGTATTTATAATAACAGGATTGTAACATTGTTAACATGATATTAAACAAGCTCAATAAATTAAAATACCTGTATATGTATGTCTTTCGACTTAGCGATCTCTGCCAACTTTTGCATTAATTCCATGTCACAACTCAGTGCGAATCTTGGTGTAATGATCGGTTTTATAAGAGGACTCTGCAACAAGTTTGGAGCAATGTAATATTTTTTTGTGATTAATTATGACATGGAATTTTCTATTTATAATTTAAGAGTTATTTTGTCACAATATTATAGGTAATAAAAAAACAAGTTTGCATTTTTACCCCTATTATCTCAATAGACTTTATAAATCCTATGGTATCTATAACTGACGTCAAGGTGTTTTCGTAATATCCATCGTCACGCGGAGTGTTCATATTAACTTTTCCGATGAAAGCTCGTTGACCTAATTTGGCAGTTTTTTGCGCAAGAATTGCACATGCATCAGCATATAAAGATGCAAAATAACATGCCGTTGTTGTACCCATTTTAATGGTCCGTTTCTGCAATGACATGCATATTAGACATAACGGAAAGTTATAAGAATATCTGCAATAATTATTATACATTTTATCTTAGCATCTTGGATAGAATTGTTTTACGCACCACAACTGCTTCAAACACTCGCTCTGCAAATTTTGTATCAGTATACTGTTTCTCCAGTGGAAAGGTATAAGTTTCCAGCCAATCTAAAAGACCTTTATTGTAACCCAGTCCAAGATTTGGAAACTGTACTGCATGAGTATGGGCATCAATAAATCCAGGCATCATAAACTGACCATGTGATAAAACGATAATTTCATCTCGAATTTTCCTTTCCAATTGAAATTCTCTCTCATGATCCTTTGGATTCTCCAAAATCGAAGTAATCTGAATAGGTAATTAACATATTTTTTATTTTTATCTGTATTAATTTAAATAAACTATAAATATATGTATACAAATATGTATGTGTGTGTAAAATTAAACTATTAAATACTTTGCCATCATCAACAAATACAGCAACATTCTCCTGAATAATTAATTCTTCTTTATCATTTGTTTGAATCAACGGACCAAAAAAAACTTGTCGAACCATTGTACTATATCTTCTATAAGTGCTTATATTACTGAAACAAAAATAAATATTATATACATTGCTATTCGATTTCATAATTATATTCAAGATTATTTTAAAAACTTTTATATTATTTACATCTACAATTATAATTATTAAATTTATTTTATTAGAAATTATACATATAACGATATATTATTATGTGATTTGAATTAAAGATAGATAAGATAAAAATGTATTAATAAAAATCTTTATAAAATATACATTAACAAATGGTTTCCTTTTGTTATATTATTGTATAATACAACAATGAAATAAAATTTTTGCAGGGTCTTACACCATAAAATTTTCATAACATCTGTAAGTAAAATATCACTTGGCAACTTTTCAACTACGACTCACTGTCGATGCTTTTGCGACAGTTTTCGTAACGTTATCATAGAAATTCATAGACTCGATCACTTGATTACTTTATTTTGTTATCACAGCTAGGTTGGTCATTCAAGGATACAGCCACGTTGCACAAAAACAGCTGATCTGAATCATCTGGGCCTAGAGAATAAATACTCCATCTCTGCAATGTTGGATCTGCATTTCAATATACGCGATTTTTGTAAACTTCGGCAAATAAAAATAATCGCGTAAGATAATATAAGCTATACACAAGTTCATGCCGAAAAAAATGCGAATTTGCTATAGATATTCGTAAAAAAATACAAATGGTCGATAAATCTCCTAATGCTGCGATAATTTTAGCTTTTATCGATGAATGGTAATTACGTTTCTAAAATTAACCAATATGAATTATTATAAAAATGTAATTACTGCAACGATAAAAATAAAAAGCAATATATAACAGCCTATAATGGTCAAAACTAGATCATAGCGCTTATTATAATTATGTGTGATTTTTATATACTTGCGTATGTAGTCCCCCCAATAATCGTGCGCTGATATACTATTCAGACATAACGCAACAAACTTACTACCGCAGTATTATCACGAATTAAAAATTGAATAACAATTTTTAATACTCATATCATGGATCTCAATAATGTTTTGATAATGACATATTAAAATCTAAAGAAAATTGAATATTACGAAGAATATCACGTAATTTTGGCGTTTCATCCCGACTTTCACTACTGGACTCATCAGTATAAGGTAACGTAGTGGAGGCCTATACCTCAGACGCCTTTTAGATAAAATATTATAAAGATTCTATATAAAGAGATATACGCATATCTCAGTACTTGCGAGAATTTGCGAATATCGATAGACCTCTGATGGCGGGTCGACGCGGTAATATTCTTCGTAATATTTATTTGAAATTGGAATAACGTCTATTCGGCTTGACGTGTAATTAATACATATTAAAATCTTTTAATACGACCGTACAATAATAAACAAACAAGAAAAAAACAGCCTATAACGATTATTGGGGGGGCCGATTACATATGCAAGTAACAAGTATATAAAAATCACACATAATTATAATAAGCACTATGATCTCTAGCTTTGACCGTTATAGGCTGTTAACAGAAAGGCGTAATTTATTCATTGGTTGATAGAGCCCTTTTACTTTCAGACGCAGTATTTCATACAAAAAATTTAACACTTATTATAATATTTTACTCATAGACATAAGAAACCATAGACCGAGTGTAATAAGCTGCTACTATAGACAAGGGGGGATGTGATAACCGACAGGGGAAATATTGGACGAAGTCGGGTAAACTTCGGTTAGATTCGGAAACATTCGGCATGTGTCATTATTTGAATTATCGCATGTGTCAGTATTTGAAAATACAAAGGTTAGAAGCGTCTGTCAGAAATAAAATAAAACATAAAATATAAAAAATATAAAATAAAAAAAAAAACACATAATTATAATAAACATTTGTGATCCAGCTTTGACCGTTATTGGCTTCCTTCTTCTTGTTTGTTTATCAATTGTACGGTCATAAAAAAATTCAATATTTGTTAAATCACGTTATAATACATAAGAATTACAGAATTTTAAATACGTGAATTTTAATTTATCATCTTTAGATTTTAATATGTTATTGGCTTCCTTTTTCTTGTTTGTTTATTGTTTATCAATTGTACGGAAAAGAGATTTAATATTTGTTCATTAAAACGTGTTTCTACAAAAATAATACAGATTTTTTTTATTCTCATTTATCACATATCATCACATTTGCATTATATTTACATTTATTTACAAAAAAAATAAATTAAGTATTATTAAGTAATATTTATTTAATTAATTAAATAAATTAAGTTTCAAATCTAATCTTTAAACTGAAATTATTCTTGAACCTATTGAACTTAAAGTAATAAAGAATAAATCTTGTATTTATTTCTATATAAAAGAATGCATTTTATAATAATAGATGTTGGATTGAAAATCGCTGAGATACATATACACTCTTTTCTGTAACCTCGAACATACTCGAGCCGATCTACGGAAATAGCCGAATTCGTCCGCTGTTTCCCCTTACCTCGTTTATCATTACCCCGCAGGCTTACGCTCGGTCTATGGTTTCTTATGTCTATGATTTTACTAGATAATGATTATCCACTTTCATTTATTTTTGACACAATCAACCATACGAATAAAACACTTACAAAGAAACAGACAAACGAGACTCCATGTGTTGAACAGGAGGATAATGAGTTGGAGAACAAAAGAACTGTATCTTGGCTTACGGTACCTTTCATACTTTTTAGTAGTATTATATAATATATATGGTGCCCCTTGGCAAGGGGAGGAGGGGGGGAAAGTTTTACCTCGCGTGGAAAGTTTAACGTTTCTGAACAGGGAAAGGTGTATAGCAATTAGAATAGTAATTAATATATCATACATGTATAGCAGAAATGATACACACGTTAATTTTGAAACTTTTTTTGTTAATAACTTTTTAACGAAGGGCGAGCGACGGCTAAAACCTGTTGGAGGTTACTCAGAGTCATGATCTTGATAACATATGTCAAGGTCAAGGTCATTGGGGGGGGTCCTAATCGGTACTTTTACCCCCCAAAAAAATATACATATATATATACATATGTTTATGTACCTATTTAATATGTATTTAGGGCGACTGTTACCAACGCCGATTAACTTAATCGACGATTAGTGCATTGGTATTGACCAATCGCATTTATCATTTAGTTTTGACGACAGACGCGATTGGTCAATTCCAATGGACTAATCGTCGATTAAGTTAATCGGTGTTTAATCGACTTTGGTAACAGTCGCCCTTTTAAATGATGATTGCTCGGTTTATCGGTGAGCCGGGTGAGGGGGGGATGTGCGACTCGCGTCCGCCCTTCCACATCAAAACAATCCCCAAGGTTGCTTTCACTAATTGTCTAATATTAACACGTTGATTTTAGAACAACATATTTAAATGCGGACAGAGAGGAAGGAGACGATTCTCAATTTTTCATTAAAATCACCACTTTTCGCTTGTATCTCCAGAACGGCTTGACCGATTTTAATTTTTTTTTGGCTCAAAATACTCATCTTTCAAGACATATAACGTTCAAAAATTTTTATATTTTAATAGTTATGCACCCCCCAAAAATGGACTTTGGTGGCTCGGGATAATGAGACTTGTAGTGTCTTTCAGTTTTTGAACATGACCGGAGACACTACCCACGTCTCCTGACGGTATCGCAAGACCGGCTATGATACAGAGAATTTAGAAATTAATGACAAGATTAATGTCTAACGACATGAACAATCAAGATCTCGCAACTTAAACAGGAAAATAATACACTTGTAAAGCGCTACTTACAATTTATCACCGTGTTTTATAAAATACGCATGACGCACGCTGGACGCTTGTATCCATGGTATAAATACAAGGGTATGCTCGTCCGGTGGTAAACCACTGCGTAGGAATTGGAGTGATGGGGGAATCTACATGTTGACGTCATCAAGTTATGACCATCATTAGTACATAAAATTTGATCGTGTGTAACATAAATTAATAATCGATGGATGTTAACTTTAAATGTTTTTATGATGTTTATCATTCAAGTGATTATTGTTCCGCATCGAAATAATTGCATTTGAATTATGTAATAATCAGGGAATGGAAGTAACTCGTTACTTGTAACGAAGTTACAGTTACAAGTTACTTTTTTGGTAACTTTACTGGTAACTGCGTTACTTTCTTTTTTTGGTAACTGTAACGGTAACGAGTTACATTTTTTGGGTAACGGTAACGAAATTTACAGTTACTTTTGTCGTTACTTTGCACACGATTGAACACGGTTCGATTGGATACATGCTATTTATAGCGCTTATCAATAAGACTTGAAAGCCCTTAGACATTCGGCCGTTATGATTCAGTAATTATTTTACACTTCTATCTTCTATGTAATACATAGGACATACAAATATTTCAGTTTGCTGCATATTTTACAGGTTTTAGAATTACAAAATTGTGTTTAAAAAAAATTAAAAAATAAATTAAATAATAGTAAAATGAGAAGGGCTATGAACCCAAAAGCGAAACAGTTTAAAAGACGATGACAATAAGTGTCGAAACGTCGTTTGTTTTTATCTTGTTTTATCTATGTATTGTTCTAATATATATTTATACATTTAATTACATTGTCATCGTCGTTCTTATCGGAAATAAACTGTTTCATTTTTGGCTCGTAACCCTTCTCATTTTACTTTTATTTAATTTATTATTTGAGCCATTCTACATTGTTTTTTTTTTTTTTAAATAAAACTATATATTTGTCAGTATTACATTTAAAAAAAAAAAATGCAAAAGTACATTTTTAAATTGATTTTAAAAAAGTAACGGAAAAGTAACGAAAAGTTATTTTTCAAGTAACGGTAACTGTAACGAGTTACTTTTAAAAAGCGATAACTGTAACTGTAACTAGTTACATTTTTTACTCGGTAACGAGTAACTGTAACTAGTTATTTTTAAAAAGTAACTTTCCATTCCCTGGTAATAATATGTATCAGTATCATTAAAATAATATTCAAAAATTTATTACTCAGAAACTATAAGGCCTATTCAATCAAACGCCGGGACACGGGTCTTTTTTTTCACCTCTAGAATCACCAAAAAAAATTGAGATTGAAATCCCAGGGTGAGTCACCTGGTCCTCCCCTTGTAAGCTATTTTCTGGTACTACAGAAAAGTGTCTCGAATATGTTTATATGGGCCAATTCGTGACGTAACAAGAAACGTTATGGATGCGTTCAAGTGCGGGATTCTCTAAATGTCTTATCGATGATTGTCGCTATCGTTAACTAGCGACAGCCAGTGGTAAAAGACAATTCTGGAAAAAGGCGCGAATCTCATTGGCTGTTGCTAGTTAACGATAGCGACATTATATTGATAAAACGTTTAGGGTAGAGAATGCCAGTCCAGATGGGCGAATTCGTGGCGTAATAGAAGCGCTGCGATTCAAATAAGTCATTTCGTGGCGCGACAAAGAAGCATCACAGGTTCGTAATCCTTAATTTATAAAATTACGTTGTGCGTTTACACATTACGTTTATATGTGAATAAGTGAAACTTATGCATATTGTAAACTTTAAGAGATTATCTGTCGTAATAATCATATATTGCGTACTGTAGATTTTAAGAGAAAATCTTCTTTGTGCTTTCGTTTTTTGGACCTTATCACTGTATTTTCTGCGTTTAGAAAGAAATGCAGTGTTCCATAGCAGAGCGAACGTCTATTTCTATTATAAAGCGTTCAGTGTCTAATGGCGGTATTCTTTCCAGCGGCATAAAGATTTTCTTTTCAAATCTACAATATGTAATGTATGATGGATGAGTTAATGAATAAAACAAATAAAAATGAGCATACAGCCACAATGAAGGATGTTATAAGCAATGTTACATATTTAAAAGTAAGGTAAAAGTAAACGTTTCGGTCAAGTTATGACCATCATCAGTACATAAAATTTGATCGTGTGTAACATAAATTAATAATCAATGGATGTTAACATTAATATTGTGTAAATTTACAATGTATGATTTAATTTTAGAAATTAAAAATACAAGATAGAATTAAATCGTTGGATGATGTTACAGAGTCAATTTTACAAAATATTTAAAAGTATCATTAAAAGTTTTACCAAACGAGTTCGAGCTATTGAATTTCTTCTCATTCTTGTGTATTTAATATTATAAGTCGTAAATAATAAAAAATTTGGTTATGTAAATATATTTTAAAGCGAAGTTTACGATTGTCAATGAAACTTTAATCACACACATTCGAGATGTCACGAACACGGACTATAGAGGTTGGAGAAATTCGCGCAATTCTGCTGGCTGATTCGTTTATTACAGTCATTAACATGAAAATAACCGAGAAGGTAACACGTAATGCCAAAACAGGGTTGGAAGGCATTAATTGCGCGAACTGTACCAGAAAACAGACGCACAAACATCAAGAGCAACAACGATGCTCAAATAATAAACAACTCTGTTGTCAAATTCTTTTAAAAACTAAATTCATAGTGATGAGTAGGTAAATAATTTGAATCAGCTGGATGAGATTTACTTTTGTTTATTCTAACAAAAACAAATCTATCTATAACCTACATCTTTTATTAAAATTTTCGAAGAAATACAAAAAAGCACAGACAAAATCATATGTATTATTTTTTAATATAAATATAATTTAACGTAGATAAACGGTTTCTATTTTTTTTTAAGTTTAATCTCTCATTGCAATTACGTTGAATTACGAATATCAGAAGCAAAAGGATCATGAATCTTTCCTATTTTTTGCAGAGATAAATTAATTCTTCTCTATGCGGGTTTGATGATATAAATTGATTAAAATGTGTGTTAAACATTTTTATCATTCTAATTTTCTTGCATTAATAAATGAATGTATTATATTCAATATCGACGTGTTCAATTTCAACATAAATAAAAATTTTAACTAGATTTACAATTATTTATTAATACATTTACAATATTACGGGTTTTATCGTAGTGTCAAACGCAAGTAACAGTTGAAAAAATCAATTTATTTCGCATAAAGTGTAGAACAAGTATTCATTGATTTGTCGTTTTTGAAGTCATGATACAAACACAATTGCAATGAGGAACCAAAAACCTTAATCACAGCATTCGCGGCTAAAGTATTTATGACTTCATTAGAAGGCGGAACGAACTCTGCAATTATTAATTTATTCAGCCTTTCCATAATTGACATATGTTACAATATACACTTAATCTTGCTACTTATTTTACTGATACAGCTAATCAGACCGCGTAAGGAAGTCATATTGGATGAGGCGCCGCGTTCCTTATCTGACCGCATTTGTCGAAAACGTATCCGATTAACTGTTTGTTTAACGGTTCTTGGTAAACGTTTAATGACATTGCATGAATCATATAAAATACGAAGAAGAAAATTAGAATACTCGATAGCATTATATACCATACTGATAATACTCTTCTTTTTGGTCCTCTTAACTGAAAGGATTGCGACGATTTTGCGCTAAAAAACGAAATTGCATTAAAAGAGGCAACAATTTTAAAAAGCAATAAAAAGAAATTAAATGAAAAAATTGATTACCTCGATCTACTCTCAGAATTAATACTTTCGTTGTCAGAAACTTCAGGAGAGATTTCCTCCTTTACGTTCGTCCAAACCTCGTTATCGATTATCGCACAATTTATTGTACTTTGACCATTAGAATGATTCAATCGCAACATGTTGTTATTTTCCTCTCTTGAGCTATGACGAGACTCAGCCTGCTCGAAAATACCTCGTAACTCACTAATGCTATTGGAACTTCTGTTCAAAAACATGTTTAAAAAATTCAATATAGTATAACACATTGTATTTTTTTAAATATTTAATAATTATTTTAAGATAATTAAAATAAATATTTTAAGCATTAGCTGAAGAAATTTAAAAATCCATAAGTCAATAATAATATTACTAACTCGGTACGATCTAGTTTTTCGATGTCCCACTTTGGGGATTCGGAGCTAAACGATGGTCTCCTGAGAATCATACGTCCGGAAACGGAATTTCGCTGCCTTACAGTGTCCTGTATGGAGAAAAAGGAAAAATGTAGACAATATAAAAAGAACAAAAAGAAAAAGTAAATAGGCAATCATGCACGTCATTAAGTTAGTAGTGCAGAAACATAAGAGAATAAACCCTGTTGAATTACCCAGCTGTAAAATAAAGCAAAAATTTAAAGCTAAAACAGTAAAACAAGACAAATTGCCTTTGTCACATCCTGTATGCTGCCCATCGGTCGAGACATTGTGGCTACGCTGGCTCTTCTCCTAGCCATCTAGAAAGAAAATGGACGAAAAAGAATATACCGATTAATAATCGGCAAAACGGAATTAAGAAAAAAAATGAGAGTGCAAGCTCTGAGTGCAAAAATTCCTGCAAAATTGTGCAAACATGCAAGTGCACAACAACGAAGCGACGGAAAGTGCGAAACAATATACGATGGATAATTAACGCGTGATAAAAAGCTGGCGAAAAAAAAGCGATGAACATGAATTTTTCAATATTTTCGAACCATCATACGATTATTGGCGGGTGTACCGCTCCTGTATCTGATACGAGGCAGTTCATCATTGAGCTCGCTGACGTTTTCCTCTATCACTATATTGTTCTCTGTCAGGATCCGTCTGGAAACGAATAGCGTGCACTATCACCGATACTATCTCATCGTTTCAAAAATAGGGGGAGGGAGGGAAGGAGAGAACTTCACATCAAATACTATTACAAATCTTTTACCAAGAATATATTTGTCCCAAATTTGTCCAATTACTGATTGATCTCTATAGGAAAGCAAGTCTTTAAAGTTTTAGTCATGATAGGAAGTTCGAAGACGCGAATATCATTTTGAAAGCAATGTCAAAATTCAAAATGGACGACGAGCAAAGCGATTGAGGAAAGGTGATAAGTCTGACCCTCACTTAGTCTCGGCGACATTGGTGATCAGTTTCTCGCACCGGGAATGCAGCACTTGGAGGTATTTATCGGCCAGTAAAACAGCTCGGGATACCCTACGCTCCTGCTGCACGGCGCCTAAAGTCTCGGCCGCGCAGGACACTCTGTGCGCACATCGCACAATCATGTCCAATTGACGTCTGACCCGTTCCACCCGCTCCACGGATTCCCTGTCCGTGCATAGTGGCGCGAGTTCCTGACGTTACGCAAAATTCAATCCCTTCAACGAACTATGGAGAATGACTACTAGCTAACTGGCAAACGCTTCGCGGTCAATTTAGACACATTTCAATGATTTAACTGAAAGTTCTATATGACTGCTTAATAAGCAACAAGATATTTTCGTATTCGCTTGCCTGAATATCCTGCTGCATCTTCTGCACTTCATTAGAAAGATTTTTCTCAGATTGATCGCGTTGTCGAAACGATATCGCTGTCCTTCGTGGCAGAGTTAACCTATCTATGCATAGGCATAACGAGAACGATGTGTACTTCTTCTACAATAGAAAAAATGTCATGTAACCATCCGCCGAAATACTTTATAATTTTTATACTTAGAATGTACTTATTTACCTGCAGTTCAAGCTCACTTGAATTCTCCCTGAAAATAACAATTATTAAATTATACAGTCAATTATATGTTACCAAGTTTCCTACTCACCTGATTACTAATTCAGTGTCCGATAAATTGGTTATTCCAGTTTTCTGCAGACAAATATCCGTAAGATTCGGGAAGACTGTCATTTGCTGACTACTTTCCGGAATCAAAGATGCATTTTTTGTACAATGACATTCCAGTTGGTCGAGGTTCTTGCCCTCCGAATATGATCTTTTCATATTTAAAGCCAGCTGTAATAATAAAGTGATATTTTGAAATAAACATACAATGAAAGAACAGCAATAGGAATTCGATAAATGCCTTCGTTGAGCCTCTAGTAAAATTAGCGGACGTCCGCTGTAAATTATCTCTCGGTATCGAATGACTTTCAAGAATAACGGAAGAGAATTGCATACAGCATTAACTTTTGTTGATCGCTGCTGATTATCAGTGCATACATATGCAAGAATAGGGAAGTTCGCAACGATAAAAACAGTTAACTTGGCACAGATGTACTTCCAATGGTAATACGACCTTCGTTCCGTATGTATGCGTTATCGCATCATATTCGAATAAATATTATCGGAAAAAGAATGAAAATGCGAGAGAATCGCATGCTTTGCAACGTAATTGAAACTTATAATTGAAAGATAGGATAAATAATAACAGGCTCGAAAAGAAGAGACAGATGACTCGATGAAAACTCTGTTAAAGATGATAATTATATGTATTCTTCTTTTACTCTATAAATGATTATTGCCTATATGAACAAACTGATGAGTAGAGAGAATATGTAGTGAGAATTTGGCGGTCTTCTCTCTTCTCGCTTTTCCACTAATATCTGTCGAAAGTTTCCATGGCAAACTTAAGGCAAATATTATTTCTCATATCAAACGAGATAGACCGCCGGATGTAGAAGGGGCATATGCGTTGTGATGCTATCGCACTTCAATGTAATATTTATAACTTCACAGTATTTCGGCGGAATTTTGTGTCGAGCGATCTGTAAAAAAAGATGCAATACCATCATTAATTAATAAATTACCTATAAGTAATGCATAGTTCACTATTATAATATATATACGTAATAGCATTTGTAATATATAATATGACACTAGAATTATTGCAAAGTCACTTCAGAAGAAGGGGGGGGGGGGG